CGCAGCGTTCGCCCCGGAGCCCCTCCCTTGGGGGGTCCCCGTTCCTCCCTTTTCCCTCCAGCCCTGGGGATGCGGGGAGACGCGCTAGGCTCCGCCTCCGCCCCTGCCCAGGAGAGGGAAGGGGAAGCCCTCACTTCCCCGGCCCCCTTCACTAGGGAGCACCTCGCCGGGGAAGGAAGAAAGAAATTCTCATCTCCTCGGCATCTCGACTCAGGTAGCCTGAATGGGGTGGTGGGTTAGTGCCCAGAGTTCTTCCCTAAGCCGGGACAAGCCCAGACCGCTCCACCCGCCTGTCTCCCCGATCCCTACCTGGGCGCAGAGACTCACGTCGCTCCGAGGGCAGAATTCGGATCCTGGGCGTTTTCGATAGGCACCCTTCTGGCCCCAGGGCCTCCAACTTCGGAACTAACTGAGCTCTTCACACCGAGGGCAGCACCTACTCCTCCAGTTCGTGAGGTATTCGGGGGGCCAGACACGCCCCCTACCCCACCTCTGCCTTATTGGCCCCTCCCCACCACTCCGGATCTCCTGCCCAGGACCCCTCTTAGAATGAATCCCACCTCCTAACACTGATCTAAATTGCTCCTCCCATCCCTCCCCACTCCAATCAAGAAACCCCTTTACTCCCTCCCTAGCCAATGCCTGTACAAGATTGCGATATGTGAGGGCTGGAGACCATCTCCAGCCTGGGGAGTTCTGAGCTGTGTAGACTCCCTGCCTGTGGAGAGACAGCCCCTCTCCAGGATCACTGACCCCTATCACAGCTCCTCTTGCCAGGATGGGGGCTGCATCCTCCTTCCCCCAGCCTCGGCTATAATCCCCACATCTTGGGCTCCAATTTTGTCCTTTCTCTATTTCTAAGGGATGGTCCTTATTGTTCCCACTTCACACATGAGAAAACTGAGGTTCAGAGGGGTTAAATGATTCTTCCAATGTCTCACATGAGCAAGCGGGCTTGGACTTGAATCCATGTGCCCTCATCCATTCGTTGCATGAACATGTATCAAGCACTAGTTCTGTGCCCAGCACTGTTCCAGGAAAGAGTGGACAGTAAGGAATGGATATAATATACAAATTAATCCTATAATATATTAGATAAATGTTTCGGGAAAAGTTGAGATCAGTGTGCAGAGGTTGGGATGGTGACAGTGCTTAGAACCATGCCAAAGACTTCAGGTTTTATTCCAGGTGAGATGGGAAGCTCTTGGGGCTTTGAGCAGAATGGAAGGGTCTGACTTTCAGGTCAACTTACTCAGGCATTTTGGCCTCAACAGACTTTGAGGAGTGGGGGCAAAAGTGGGATAAGGGGGCCACAATCTCAGGGTGAGAGATGACCAGAGTGGACAGAAGGGTCTGCTTTCTGGATCTACTATGAAGGTGAGGTGACAGCATTTGTCATCTGACTGGATAGCTCCTTCCACTTCCCTGGCAGCAGCTGGGACCCTCCTGGCTCGCCGGGGCTCAAACTGAACTCCACCTCCATGTTTTCAGGACAAGCGTCTCAGGTGATTGAAGTGTAGCCTTAGTCTCCTTCTGGAGGGCAACTGCGGAGTCTCCGCTGGAGGAGCTGGGGAACCAGGTTGCAAGGAGTAGGGTAGCTGCACCCTCCAGAACATCAGCTCCTCTGTGTGCCTTAGCTCTGGTGTTGGGACCCCTGCGGAGGTGCCAGACATGCATGGGTGGTTCCCAGCTGCCTCCTGCCTAAGGACCTGAGAGCGGGGAAAGACTTGCCACTCAGGCCCCTCAGGTGACAAGCTCCCTCCCCTCTCCCCACTAGGCCTGGAGGATCACCTCCCTTAGAGTGGGGAGAGGAACCTGACCTGCAGCCACTACCACTGCCTCAGTCCCTGGTCCCTCTTCTCCCTCCTCCTCCTTCCTCTCTCCCCTTCCTGAGGCTTGAAAATCTTTCCAGCCTGGTATGGATCCATCCTTGTGGGGTCTCAGTTTTCCACCACTTGGGGCTGCTCAGCCACTCTGCTTCCTCCCACTCCTGGTCCCCAACCCCTGCCCCACCAGTTTTACCTCCTGTAGGCTGACTCCTTGGCTCAGCCTCTCAGGAGCCTACTTCTGTTTTTCTTCTCTGTGAGAGTGTCTCTGATGCTCTTCCCTATAGACCCCCAGTCTGCATCCTGTCTTTCAATAGAGAGGGCTTCTGAAGACAAGGTCATGTCTTCTCCTCACCCTGGGCACCCCACATCCCTTTGACATTTCCTGCACGTCTAATGAGTATGGTGAGGGGCAGGGAGAGGGCAGAGTTTGGGCTGTTTTGGCGCTGCTGGCTACTTCCCATCAGCCACTGCTCCCTTCCTGGGGGCCTAATAAGCACTGAGAGCCCCCCTAAGCCAAAGGGAAAGGCTTGGGGCTCCCCAAACTAGACACCATGACCCATGACCTAGTGCCCCAAGGTATAGCCCAGAAAAGGGGGGCAGAGGAGCAGCTGTCAGAAGGCCTGGGCCCCTCACTCTGGGTGACCTGGAACAAGTAAATCTCTTCCCCTTTCTGAGCAGAAAGGTTAGACATGTGACCTGGGTGCCTTGATCCCCCATCAAAAACTCTAACCAGAGCACAGACAAGACAGGCCTTGCTTGCTGCCTCACTGGCCCCTCAGGGCGGAAATCCTGGACATGAGCATACATACAGATGAGGCATCAGTGGCCTTGGAACTCTGAAGATCTGAAGGGGTCTATGGAGTCTTGTTGCAGGGGTAGGGGTGAGTGTTGTCCTTGCTGATGACACTTAGCCCCTCTCACCCCAGATGGAGGGATCTAGCAGGGAGGTGAATGCAGAAAGGGGTCACTGAGAGAATCGTGCCATAGGCAGGTCCATGGCAGATGGAAGAAAGAGCAAGTCCCAGGGGAGGAGGTGCCCCCGCATCTGAGGAGTAAGGTGAGGGGTGCAGAAAACAGAGGTAGCCACCCTCCTCTAGCATTACAGAGGGACCAGCTCCAGGGATGCCAGAGAGAAACAGGTGGGGGGTGAATTGAGAGGGGACTGCAGGTCTCTTGAGCACCTACAATATGCAGTGCTTTGTGTATGTTACCTCCTTTATTCAAACCAATCCTGAGGAGTCAGTAATGTGACTGCCATTTTACAGATGTGGTGACTGAGGCTCACAGAAGTGAAGTCACCTGCCCAAGGTAATACAGCAAGAAAGGGACAAAGCCAGAACTTGAACCCAGTTCCATGTGACTCAGGAGCCGAAGCCCCTCTCTGGAACTTCTCCGTGAGATAGATGGTGTTAGCCCCTCCCCAGCCCCCTCGGAGGTACAGCCCCCACCCTTCCCTCTTAGGTCCCAAATGGTTTGGAAAATCCTGATGGGAGCAGATGGCGGGGACAGATGGAGGGAAAAGCATCTCAGGGCTGAATTACACAAACAAACATTGATAAAGTGATTAAAACCTCAAACCACCCCTTTCCAAAGGGTCCTGCCCACCCTAGCCTGGAGCAGAGTGGACCCGGAGGTGGGGGTCTGGGGGAATCTCTGGATGTCCCGCATCTTACCCCTATTGATTCAGCTTCTGCCTGCCCCCCTCATTGCCAGGGACCACCCCCGGACCAGAGCCCAGGGCGGCAGAGCTGCCAGGAACACAGCCCGGGAGGGGGAGGGGGCAGGCCTGGCTGTTCCCGAGGGAGCTGGGCCGTGAGGAACAGAAAGAGGGGAGGGCGGGGACATCGGGGAAAGTCCTGGGAGCTGGGAATGCAGACCTGAAGTCCGTGGTGGCGGTGGGGGTGTTGTGGTGGGGCTGGGGTTCCTAGACAAAGCCTCACTTTACAGACGGGGCTGGGCGAGTAGCCATGGCCCCCCAACCCGGGGAGGGGGTGAGCCTTGCAGCCAAACCCTATTCCACCACCCATCCCCATTGGAGGCAATAAGGCCTTTCACCTCTGGAAGATTTGGTTGGTTTTTTTCGTCTGTAAAATGGAAACAATAATACGAGCACCTTCCTGGAAGGGGTGTTGTGAGGATTAGATGAGACGCAGCCTGTCGAGTTCTGGGCAGTAGATCTGCACACAGTCAGCCTTCAGTTGGTGTTGGCTCCAGGCAGCTCATAGGGCCTCCCTGGTGTTGGAGGATCAGGAAGGCTGCAGCAGGTTGGAGATGGTCCCTCTACAGAGAAGGAGTCTGGGCTTGAAAATCCTGCCTGCAGAGTCCCTGAGGCTGCCGGGCTCTCAGGAGAAGGATCCTGCAATTGTCCTGAGAAAGAGCCCCAACTCCTTCTTGGGTAAAGGATGCTGGTCTCTCTGCCAAGCCCAGAATCCAGGACCCCTAGGGAGAGAGAAAGGGGCTGCATCTCTGCTGGTCCCTCACTACAAGCGAACAGACTTTGGAAGGCAACAGATCCAGGTTCAGATCTTGATGTGGCCCCTTCCCAGCTTTGGGAAAAGTTGGCTAAAACAACCCCTCTGACCCTCTGCCTCCTTCTCCATAAAACTTGCCTTTCTAGCTGCTTCCTGGATTTACTTTCAGAAGCCCACAGACAGATACCTCCGACTCAAGCCAGCCTGTCTCCAACTTACTGCCTTTCGCCCCAACCTTCCCCAAACCTGGGTCCCCCTCCATCCACCAAACAGGCCAGAGGTCTACCACCCAGGACCCCTCCATTTTCCTCACCCCGACAGCTGCTCCCTTCCCAAGTCAGCCTGTCTATTAGAGGCCTGCCCTCCCCTCTCCTTGCCACTCTCTTGCCCCACGCTCTTGTCAGACTGGTCCTGTTATCTATCTGGCCCTCTTATACTCCTATCTTCAGTTTCTCTAAATCAAATCCTCCTCTCCCTGCTAAATAACCTTCCATGGCTCCCCATGGCCCACCAGAGTAAGTGGACATTCCAGGCTCTCCATGATGTCCAACCTAGCCTCCCCCCTCAGGTCTCACCCTCCACTTTCTTCCTTCAACAACTCCCCACCAGTCCAGCACCTTCTCTACCACGTGGCCAGGCTCTCCCTACACCAAAAGCAGGCATCTAGAGTCAAGGCTGGGGGAAGGGGTTCCCAGACCTCCATAACCCTTCATAGGCATTTTAACCCAGTTGGGGGTGGGCGGGAGTGAAGCAGGCAGCTGGGTCACACCTGGGTCAACCCTTGCCCGCACAATAATCCCTCTGCTGGTGAAAGCAACTCAGCTGGAAGGGCCTCCAACTCAGCAAGGGAGGGAGAGTGACTTGCCAGAGGTCACCCAGTCAAGCCCACGCTTTTGCCCTCTCCCCAAATCATAAGTGACCCCTTCTGGGACAACCTTCCTGACAGATAAGCATTGGGATCTTTCTCACACATTTCCATCGCTGGGAGGTCCCTCCTGCTGCTCTTTCTGGTCCACCTATGACCACTTGAAAATTGTTCCCGGGCTCACGGTAAATGGAATGGCCA